ATTGTATCTGATGCGGTTCGATAACTTTGGACAGTGGAAGTGAAATTCTGGGGAGCGGAGATTTTATAGTTACTTTCGCGTAGTGTTTTTAGAAAAGTAATAAACAAAATTGATGAATTGATATAAAATTTTTTGTTGACTTCAATTGCTCGAAGACAGATATTATTCACTTATAAAATTAGTTTCTTTTGTTAACAATTCTGTATAATATAGAAACATCATGCAATTGCTATTTACACATGGTATCTAAGACAAACGTGACTCAAATAAAAAATAACCCTTCCTCCCATACACCACCTCCAATTCCCTAAAACTGAAAAAAAAGGTAACACACGGAACTCCTCGATCAAACAGTGCCATTTCTGAATTGCCAGCGATCCTCTTCTATATATCCAGTATACAAACATCTTGCAGTCGCCTAGACACCTAAAGCAGACAAGACTCAAACAAAAAAACAACCCTTCCTCCCATACACTACCTACAATTTCCCAAAAATGAAGAAAAAGGTAACACGCGGAACTTCTCGATCGAACAGTGCCATTTCTGAATTTTTATCAATCCTCTTCCGCGTATCCAATCTTGCACGAGCGTTCAAGTACCAGGCCGCGCGCCCCTCGCGCCAGACAAAACTGGTCAATATTCCTCTATTTGAAATCCATAAAGTTCCTTCCACCTTTTTCGAGGTTAGGAACGAGGCACGAACCTACGGCTGCGGCGTAGGGTTGGAAGAGGCAGGAAACTGCAAGTTTAAATTTGCGCTTGGCACCTGATCGGCTGACGTTGCAGGGAAACGGCAGCCAAGAGGTGTACGCGCAGCATATAGAGCCGAGGGCCGATGGTCGGGGGCATAATTTGCTCGATTATTTAATAGGTTGGCCTGACGCCTAGGTTGTAACACTGAGCAGCCTGGCCCCGACATTCTCCAGTTGCAATCTATATTAAAGCATCCGCGGCGGATTGCTCATTAGCGAATTAACGAGGACAGAGCATGATGCCGGCCTTAATTACAGTCTGCCGCGTAATATGAATTATAAACAATAAATCAAGAGGAGACCGTGTCACGGGACACGTGAGGCTGCGGGACAAGTGGAGTTACACGTTCCGTAGAATTGTAATTTATTAGGTTGCTGCGTGTGAGCGGGACGATTCCACTGATCGACTGTAATTGCGCTTTGTTGCGCGTTGATCAGCGCAATTCGCGAGCTCTGTTTAGATTCGGTAGTTGATTTGGACGTGGTATTGTTTGAGTAGCGCACGAAATTTGGAAGTTTCGCGTTTTTATGTGTTGGAAAACTTGGACTTTGTAATGGTTAAATCAATTGGACGATTGGACGATCGTTAGATGGTTAATTGAGCAGAAGGATTTAATTAATTTTTTAATAGTAATTTTCTTTGATTTTTAGATCTCCTGCAAAAAGAAGACCTGTTAGAACTTTTTATTTAAAATAATTTTCTTTGAAATTTTGTTCTAATTTGATTAGTAATTAATTTCCTTAGAACTTTAATTTTAATTTGATTAGCATTCAATTTCCTTAAAACTTGAATTCTAATTTTATTAGTAATTAATTACCTTAGAACATTAATTCTAATTGTATTAGAATTTACGAAAATTTAATTTGTTTCAATAATATATATATATTCTTCTGCTTCGAATAGTAAGAGAAATCATTTTCGCAGGACATAGTATACAAAGTCCAAGTATTCGTCACCATTTCAGTTATAAATTATGCACCGCCGGTTGTTCCGTAACTATGGCAATCGACATAAATGTGATTCGCATCTTAACCTGATCAGCATGATTAAGCCCTATAATACGGCGCAGTGTAGCCTGTGGCTCATAACGTAATCCAGATCACCACGTCTGAGATCAGGATACGATTAAGTTCGCTATGTCATAGATCATGACATCGTCATTGTACGATATATCATGGTACACCAGATCAGTTTACGACACTTCATGCTGTAACCGGGATTACTGTCGTCGATAGCCATAATCGAGTTCGGAACATAGCACCGTGTTTCCTAATCAAGATCATTGATTAAGAAATATTCCTAATACTTTTGAATCCGATGATTGAAAGCATAAACAGCCCAAATGACTTGTATTTCTTAGATCTCAAAGACACGTTCGTATCTAACTTCAATTGTAGCTGGTATTATTATTCATGAAACATTTACACAAGTTAAACATTAACCCTTCTAAAATCGTACAATAACAGATAGTGTAGGAGAAAGAGAATTTTATTTGAAACAGTATAATTATTTCATGACAACTCACAATAAAACAATCCACAAATCAAACAACGCACACACTATTTATAAACTCAGATGCTTTGTCTCACTCGCACACTTTCTAGAACATTCTTTCATTACCATGCATTAACTTCATGTATATTTGGAATATTCTAGATTCATAAAAAAACGAACATTATTAACATAAAGATCAATATAGAGAAAATCAATTTAGTCTAGAACATTCCAATGCTTTGAACATTCATTCAATACGCGCTCACACACACAGTCGTATCATTCATCTATTGCACACACATTCATCACTCATCAACATCTCTATTCTCGCACTCAAATACATCTATTCCCACAATAGCAATAATGAAACTAAGAAAATCGAAACTTTCTCAATTACTTAACATTCTATTGGAAAAAATTGAAAATATTCAAAATCGTCTTGAAGCAATTCACAAAGGTATTTTTAAAGTATTGTAGCCGCCATAACATCACGACAAGTGAACTAAAATGTAGGGAATCATCTATATTTTCAAATATATGATTACCATAAGAAACATAGAACAACTGATCAGCTATTTATGTAAAAATAATGAAAAATCTCGAACATTACAACGAACAATTACGAAATATTCCTTTCTCATTGCCACAGTTCAAAGGAACTACTTAAATCTTCAGTCGGAAAACTTATTAACACAAATGCAATGAACATCGCTATATAATCAACAACAAAATTTCAGCTATCTCTAAAGACATGTTCGAAACAGATTCCAACATTCCCAACAATTCCCTTTCGATAAAACATTAAAACTGCCTCTTTGTTTCGCAACAAAGCCCACAGTTCCGAACAAGAGTTCAAGACCCGTTTATCATCGGTCGCATGGGATATCCGAGAGCTAATAGAGTTACATACCTGGCTGGCACTCGAGTGCTCGAGGCTGACGCGACGCTGGACGGAGGAGACCTATCGCGTTTCAGCCCCGTCGAAATCGCGGAGTTCCGCGTTGCGTGGTGCGCGGGAGGGCTTGATGGCTGTGCATAAGATCCTCGCCAAGGACGGCTGCTGATGCGGTATTTGCGCAGGTGTACGAAACATCGAACGGCAACGTTGTTCGGAGTAGTTAGTCGTTGCATTGTTACCTAGTCGGATAACTTGAGACGTGTGCGGGAGGGATGGGCGTACATAACGTGCTTCCGAGATAAATCGCAGGTTTGATACACCGGGAACCTGAAGACCATCTAAGCTTGGCAGTTCGGTCGCGCAGGATGCCGAGTGCGGTTCGGTCTACTCTGATCGAGAATTATCAGACTTCGGGGTTCATTAATACTTACGCTTGTCAATGAATTCTCTGTTATGGGGAGAATTTTGAGATTCTGGGGTTTTCTATTGATAGTTTGAATTTAGTATGAATATGGTGAATTATCAGCAGATTTCGGGATTCATTATTATTTACGCTTTCCAATGAATTCTCTATTATTAGAAGAATGTTGAAATTTGGATTTTTCTATTTGACAGTTCTAATTTGATATAAATGTGGTTCATTAATATTTACGATTTTTAACGAATTCTTTTTTCCTGGAAGTATTTTGAAATTTGGATTTTCCTATTGACAATTTTAATTTGGTATGAACACTATGAAAAATTGAACCAAATATTTTCCTGTATCTTTTATTCGTAACTCTATTTATTAATTATTATCTTTTCAATATATTCTCTGTTTGTAACGAAAGTATTTCTGTTTACAGATGGAAATGCTGATATAGAAGATCTCGATCCGGACGTCCAAGATTACAGCACTGACGAAGATTATAATGATCTCTTCGATCCTACCACCAATGGGTACGTCAATCAGCCAAAAAACATTTATAAAAATACAACAATCACATAACTCTACAGAAATACACCCAAACTGAACCATACCTAGCACAATTTTATATACTTCTTTTCATCTTTCCTTCGATCTTTTATAATCTAATAAAACCGTTTACCATAACCATTTCAATCATCTTAATCACTGGTCTGTCACTAGTACGTAGCCGTGCCAGAACAGCAGAATTGACGCACGAAAGTGACGTCGATTTCGATCCGGATTATTGTCTCTCGAATCGAGAAATAAAATTTTTGTTCGTCCGAGGATGGACGTGAAATTAAAAATAGGGAGACGAGCACGGGGGAGGAGAACGATTGACGGGTCGAAAAACGGGGGTAAAAGATTTCATGGGTCCGTATGATGGAAAAGCGAGAGCTGGGGATGCCGCAGGGCTTAATAAGGAAGCGGCTCGATTGGTTCGATTCGAAAGCTAATAATGCCACTTCCCGTGCGTCGTGGAACTGCGAAGGCTTTAGGCGTGATTAAATTTGAATTCTCTCGTTCCTTCAGACAGGCTAATTCGGGGAGGAAGCGGCGATAGGGCCAATCGAGATTCCGACGTTCGAGCGACGCTGTAGTCGTCTTCGATTTCGCTTATTGCGGGGAGAACTTTCTTCGCTCGAGATTTCGGAAATGGAAAGATTTCGCTGGGAAATGAAAATTCGTTGAACGAAATCGATCGAAGTTTCTATTAAAAGGAACGCATCTTAAAATCTTATAATCTGTCGCGTCTTATATTTGAACCATCTGTTTTCAATGTGGCTGAAGCCTAAAAAAAGAATCTATTGAAGAAGAAAAAGATTATGTAGAATCGTAACTATAATAAAGATTAACTTGATTCTTTTGAAAAATGGACTTAAGTCACGTTCAAAATAAACGGCTCGTTTCATTCTTTGAATATCTACTCGAAAAATGCAGCAATTGGATTATTAACAATTTTAACCATTGCTCTCGCCCTTTTAAAATAGATATCAATGAAAAGATTAGTTTTCCTTTTGACACTAAAGTATAATTTTCTAGAATCCTAAGTTCCTTTGAATCGTTAAGTTTGCCTGTTTGCAATCTAACGTGCCAACCCATTACGATACAAAGTCTTACTTATTATTCTACAAAGACATCTCCTCATATTCAATTTAATTACAATTCTTGTTTTAATTAATTTTACTCAGTAAAACTTCATCGACGAAGCATGTGAAACATTAGAATTAATTGGAACGTTGCTACATCGTATTTTCACCTCAGCCGTTATCTGTAACGAAAACACACCCGAAAATTCCCGAGAAATCAAGGAAAACCGATTCTCATAGACAAATCAGTAACAGTACGTAATAATATTCCCAAGATGAACCAACGTTTCACGTTCCGTGGAGTTTGTGCCAGTTATCAAACAGCTGTGTACCGAACCAAGAAAGCTGGTGCGGAGGTTCGGTAAGCCTAGCCAGCGCAGCGAGTTACGTCGCCGCATAATAGCGTGGTAATGCGCGGTGCCCGATTGAAATTACGTGTCGTAACCAATCGCAGTAACGCATTATGGTTACAATATCGTGGATGCACGGGTCGACGACTTCCAGCCGGCTGCATTATTCCTGAACGCCACGTGGCTCCATTAATATTGATGCACCGACCGATTCTCTCTCTAACCCCTTCGGCTGGGGGATGTCGGGCCGGTAGTTGACAGAGATGCTGGTAGACGTTGTTACGACATGGGGTTTATCCCTCGAAGGATCGCTGAGGATCAATTCTTCCCAGATTCATGGGATGAATATTGTCCCGGATATTGTTCAGGTGTTCTTCGTTAGTTTGGGAATGTTCGTGTGGATGGAAATGGTTAGAAATTTATAGGAAGTGTAATTAAAGAGATTTTTGGTTGAATTTTTCAATGCTTTGTGAGATATTTCGTGACCGGATTCGAAAATATTTTCTTTGTTTATTTGTTGCTTAGAGGAAGTTTTAGAGAAGTTAAAGGTACTGTCACTATTCGAGTAGAAGGTAAAAATGTATTCTAGTTCTCTGTTATTGGATCACTCAATTATTCGATTTCTCAATTTTTCAATTACTGAATTTCTCAATTTCGCAATTTGGCAATTCCTTAATTCCTCAATTTCTCAATTCCTCAATTCCTCAATTCCTCAATTCCTCAATCCCTTAATTCCTTAATTCCTTAATTCCGAAATTCCTAAATTCCTAAGTTTTTCAATTTTCAATTTTCAATTTTCAATTTTCAATTTTCAATTTTCAATTTTCAATTTACAATTTTCAATTTCTCAATCGCCCTATCTCTCAACCTCCCAATCTCTCTATCTCTCAATTTCTCAATCTCTCAATCTTTCAGTCTCTCAATTTCTCAATTTCCATTCAATTCTCTAAATTTCCCCAAAACCCTACTCCAATTGAAAACACCCCACAAAAATTCGGAACCCACCGAAATTGTTACCAAAGTGCCACCTCTCAGTTTCACCGCAATCCCCAACAAAAACACGCGTATCCTCAAAAACCCTTTCACCAGTCTACATCTACCCACAGCTCCAAGCCAATCAGACCCAAACGTTTCCTCGCTATCCGGAAAGCTCATCGCAGTTCTCTCTACTTTCACTGCAACAAGGAAGGATACAATAACCGTGTAAATTCGTCCTGCAAACAGACTCCGTCTGCGGTGAGCCGACTCCGCGATCGAACGCCTCTTCAATCATTTGCATGGCGACTTTAAAACGTTGCTCCTGGCACTGCTGGCCTCGGCAACGGGTGGAGGGGGAGGGGCAGAGGACAAAACCGATCCCTCAGCCGAGGTTAAACGTTGCATTATTTATAGAAACCCCGCGAACGCCTAATCCCCGTCTGAGACGGTCTTCTGAGTGCTTAAAACTGCGAGCAAAAGGAAGTGACGCAACGGCTCGACTCGGTGGGCGCGTCGAATTGTTAACGATTCGCCGACCTAACCTACTCCTCCTTTACTCTCAGATGTTTTAACACCTCTCGCTGCGGTGCTGTAACCGTGCCCGCTTCGTGTGTCGAACTTAATTATGCGTGGGTAAACGACTGGTCCCGCCGCGAGAGCTTGGGTCCGACGCGCCGCGGCGGTAGCCATTTTGAGGATTATCAATCAACCGGCCGAGCGACGGGCGAAAGCGTTGCCTTTTGTTTTTCGACGTTCTACCGGAACTCGGAACACGCAGTCGAAATTAGTCATTTTGAATACTTCGTTTGCTGCTACGGGATTCTGGTAGTTTGTTTTCGTTGGCTCGGCGCTTTCTGGACATTGAGGCTTCGTGACTCATTGACTCGCTGTTGCTCGTAGGCGGCCATTTTGAGGATGTGTGCTTATATAGTTTAACACGTAGAATGCCATGGGGGGTCACCGGTGACGATGATTATCTAGAAACATTTCTATATTACAAACAATGCTACATAATACAGTGACATTCAGCTCGATGAATACGCAGTAATAATGATGCAAATCAATCATATGATTCAATATTAAATTCTTTTCGTTTTGTGTATTTTGCTCTATGGAATCTTTATCACTTTAAGGATATTATAGAATAATTTTTAACCAACTCCAAACGCAATAGTAATAAAATTGAAAATTCTGGCAGTAATATTATAGGTTTGGTGTAGAACACTGGCTCAAGCTTCGCGCATTACTTCCGATTAGATTGATAAGGGTTAAAAAGGGAAGAACGAAATTGGTTTTGGTTTTCAAATTTCTTATGAGTTGAAGTGTTTTACAAATCCTTTTTGAGTTTGAATTATTTGTTTGATACTTGTTTTAATGTAATATAGGGATTTAGGAGCTATTGTTGGAAGTAGTGCTAAGTTGATCGACCAATGATTTTCTCTCCTTTTCGTAGAAATTGAGTGGAGGTAATAGAAAGTAATTAAGTAGATATTTTATGTATATCATTCCACTTGTTCCATATTTGTGTCAAGTGTTATTAAAAGCATCATTCATTATTAAATGGCAACATACTATATTCATACATTCGTACCAATTACGTAACCCCATTAACAGTCCTATTTGGAGGGGCGCAAAATTTGGTATAATAACGAAAAGCACAGATACCACGCGTCTACGACAAACATGAATAACATCAAACGTAGCACAAATATTAACACATTAAACCCACATGGGTATTAAATAAAACGAATAAAAGCCACCATAGTATAACTTCAAATTACTCCGATTAATATCTTCGTCTTCCATTTAACGTTTTCCTCAATTCTCGTATTTTTTCAAACTTTAAATCTTAAAGTGAACGTACGTTTTTTCACGGACGATTCAAATTTCTCTCGGCTAACCGACGACTTTTTTTACATAGCAGAAAACGTCGAATTTCCGTGGAAATGCACACGCGATAAAGTATCCGTCGAACGAGCAGGCAAAAGCGGGGAAATTGATCCTCGCCGTTACATAATTTTCGCGCGTTGCGCAACCGTTGCAAAGCGCGGTGAAATTTTAACTCGTTGCCGTCGTTTAATAAACGATATTTACGATCTCTACCGGTACACGCCCGGAACTTTCAACGAGGACGTTCTCTGCGTCGCGCCACCGAGGCTCGGCGAACGTCGGAAAAAGCCGAACAGCTTTCCCGACCGTACGTTCTGTTTTTTACGGGATTCTTAAGGGACGTTTCATGGAACATCAGAAGCCCGGAATCGAAATTATGAAAGTTAAATTGAAAATGGATGTCTGCGACCATTCGTTTTACGGACTCTGGCTTCAAACTTCCGGACTTTCCACATTAGCACGTATATATCTAAGTATGTAGTAACTTTCGCTATGTTTTCAGCATCTAAAAACAAAATAGGAATTGATATAGATTTTTTTGTTAGTAAAGAGCGAATAATTTATTATTCTTCAATAGTCAAAGGATATTTGAAATAAAAGAAATAAGTGAAATGGATAAATATTTAAAAGAGAATAATAAATAAAGAATAAATAGAGAGAATAATTTGAACATTTAAGATACAA